TCTTTCTTTCTTTCTTTCTTTCTTTCTTTCTTTCTTTCTTTCTTTCTTTCTTTCCTCCTTTCTCTCTTTCCCATCCTTCCTTCCTTCCTTCCTTCCTTCCTTCCTTCCTTCCTTCCTTCTTCTCTCCTTCCTTCCTTCCTTTAACTTCAAACAGGAATTTTGTACCTTAGAAGCGAACAGTCTTCTTTTGAATCCTGACTGTGTAATTGCCAAGGTAAACAAGAGTCAAGCCTTCTGTGCCTTTGATTCTTGCTGTTCTTACTAACTAAAATAGGTAAGAATGAACACATTTCTGTAACGAATGTTCAGGGCATTTGAGCACCCACTGAAGGCTCTAACCAGGCCAGGATTTCCTTTTTTGAGGCCATGCAGAATCCGGTCCAAAAACATGAACACAAGAGGAATGCTTCTGGTCATTTTTCTCAAATCCACCAGAGGGTTCCCACTGACGTTTCTGACAAACTAAGCCTATGTGGTGCATCTGCCCGACAAGGGAGCGTTTATGTAAAATGTGTGTTTTTTTTTTTTTTTTTCCCCTCTCCTCATTACTTTGACAGTTCCAGCCCTCACTTTCTCCTCTGCTCGGATCGACATCTGAGAAGGGAGACCACAACTGCATACCATTTTATAGATCCGCCTGATTAAAACCAGCTCTCCCTATAGGTCCCATCACGTATGAGACACACGGTTTTTGTCAAGAGACCAGCTACTAGCTGAAAGAGTTTTGATGCTATTGCTAGTAAGAAATTAGTAACTAGATCCCTGTTCTGTTTTAAGCCAACTTTATAATTATACTGTTTTAGTGGTAAACCAGACCCTTGAGCCAAGCGTAATTTAGAAATTCTAGATCTGTATTCCTTTCCCCCCCTGTCTTAAATGTTCATCTTTGCTGCCTCGCCGTCGTCTTCTTTCAAACATATAATTTTCTTCCATTCCTTCCTCACCCCTGGCTCCTTGTCGATGTGACCCCGTGTCACAAATGGATAAAGGCATCTTGGTCCCCCATGTCCTGGGACACCATGGGCAACAAGCAAGGCTGTGTAAGTACAGATCTGGTTCTGGAACGTGTCGCCACTGTGGGAGGGCGTCACCAGGCAGGCTCACTGGTGTGCGCCTGGGACTGGAGCCTCAGCCTGGGCTCCAGCTTGTGCGTCCAGAACTTAACCTTTTCTTCCTAAGACCAGAACTGCCCTGGAGATTACTTTCTCCAACTCTCAAGCTCTTCCTGATTCTGTCAACTTTTGGTCCTCAGAACTCTTGTGATATGGAAAGATTTATTAAATATTAAAAATGAAAACCAGGGCTTCCTTGGGGGAAAATTTCAGAGTCTCACTTGCCTTTTTACATTGCTTTCTCTCTCCCATTTTCTTCCTTCACCTCCCCCTTATTTTACTTTATTTCATTTTCCTGGTGCAATTGTTTTTCTGCTCTTTCAAGCTATATTTTGGGATGGTTTAAAAAAAAAATCTCTTAAGTATATCTTGAAAGCCCACATTTTCATTTTGGCTGAAAGTCATCCAAACCATATGCATTTCAATGGAACGCTCGTCCAGCTCCAGCTGGCCTCTCTCTGCCAAAGACCCCCCTTTTTTTTAAATACCTGACCAAATTTCTACAGAATAGGGCTGAAATGATACCGATCCAAGATCTCTAAGGGATCACAAGCACGGGATTCTAGATCTTTCATTCACAAGCTTACTGGCTGGAGTTGTTCCACGGTCCTGAGCTTGATAGCATTTTCCCTCCAGAATTGCTCTTTCTTGGTTTCTTCCTTTTTGTTTCTCTCTCAAGAACACTAATCCTCTGCGGGGAAAGCAGCCAGGAGGGGTAACTGGTGCTCGGCCGCCCTTGGTACCAAGGGGCAGCCAAAGTCTCCTTTAAAGACAGCTGCTTTCTATTTCGGGATTCTCAACATTGTGGCTGTGTGCATTGTCTTTTCACTGACAGGTCTGGTCTTAGCCTGAGCTAAAACAGAACTCACCATTTTTACCAAGACCTCGAGGGCCACGGCTTGGGTCCCGTCAGCGGCAAGCCCTCCACGCACTGTCCCTCGACGCAGATGGCATTGGGGTCCCTGTAAGCCACACCCCTCCCCACCCTCCCACCCAGGGGAGAAATGAAGGCCCACTAGTGAGGAAAACTGGCTGATTGAGTTATGACTAAATGGCTTTTCAAATCTTCTCATTATCTGGGGAGAAGGGAGCAAGTTCTGTAGCTTGTCAGAGCCTGGTCCCTTGCCCACAGATAAAGCCAAATCCTCAGGAATCCTGTGAATGGGGAGTCTTGGAGGCCATACCTTGGAAACAAACCACACGGCCTCACTCAGCAGGGCTGCCCCTTGGTGCCGAATGCAACCCATTCTTGCCTGTTTTAAGTGAAAACATCCCAGGATGAGAACGTGCATTCTAAGAGTGGAATGCTTTGTAGTTCCTTGTACTTGGGGGGGAAGGTGGCGTGTTCATAAATGAGAGTGCTACTTAAAAGTTCACCCCTTTCTGCTCCTAGACTGCAGCTCCTCAGGGAGCCCCGTGATAAAGATCGCTAATATTTTCCCTCTAAGTAAGGGAATCAAAGGGGAGCTTTGCTATCTGCCTTGTCTGGATGCCAAATTAGGTTGTGCATTTATTCACTCTTTGATGGCCTCAGTTACCATGGAGACTTTTGCGGATATAATATGTATTTATAGACAGACACGTGTATGCATATAACGGAACTACATAGGGAGGTTATAAATATATAAGCTTCCTGCGTTACGGATACAAAGATGAACTTTCCTTGTATATTTCCATCTGCCCGCGTATTTCCCTGGGCTCCCGGATACCTGCGTGATCGCGGACACACCATGTAATGTCCCTGCCTCTCAGCTGGGGCCTCTGGAAGATAAGGGAGTTGAAGGAGCTGGTGTTCTGGGTGGGGAGGTGCTTCCCCTCTGCTCCATTCCCTCCCTCTGCTGGAGCTGTGGTCTGCTCTCTGCACAAATGTGTAAAATGACGTGCTAGCGTGTTATGGCCACAACCTGGTTCCTCCGGTTGTGTAGAATCCCAACAGTCTATGATTTTAATATCTTTCAGCAGTTCCGTCCTGAAGTTATTGGGGGTGGGAGGGGGCAAGAAGCCACCACATCAGCCAGCACGCATATTCTGAGAGACTCAGTCCCGTGAGTAACAACTCACCTAGCTTCAGAAACAAGGCCTGGGTCTAATGAGTTTTATCTCTTCGGTGGCTGTCTTGGTGCACCCGCTAGGTTGAAGGCCAGGGACAGCCCTAATCTAGCTTGACTGTGGTGAGACTTCTGACTCAGTCTTTTTTTTTTTTTTTTTTTTTTTTAATTTGATGGAGAGATCACAAGTAGGCAGAGAGGTGGGCAGAGAGAGAGAGAGAGAGAGGAGGAAGCAGGCTCCCAGGACCCTGAGATCATGACCTAAGCTGAAGTCAGAGGCTTAACCCACTGAGCCACCCAGGTGCCCCTGACTCAGTCTTAAGCAACACACTTATCGATAAACCTTGGTAGAGGTCCTTTTGCCTCAGACCCAGATGGAAAATTTACTGGTGTTCTGACACATTGTGTGCTTGGCTGCCAGTGTGAGTCTCTTACATATCATTCTCTTCTTTAAAAGCCCGGAGTGACTTCTCAGTTGTCTTCTGGTTGATTCCCGAGGCCCTCAGCTTGGCATTAAGGCTTCACCAAGTTTTCAGCCTTTTCCTTCCATCTCTATTTCTAAGAGTCTCCCAGAGAAGTTCCACCTCTTGAATGAGAAGAGTCTTCTGATTGCTTTATTCCTCCCTGGGGCACCCACACCCCACCCCACATTCACTCATGTCCCAGTGCTGCTGTGGGGCAAGCCTGGAACATGTCCTGATGCAAAGCCAAGGTCCCCTCCCCACAGCCTAATCCTTCCTGTGAAGCCCGCATTTGAATCTGCCTCATCTCTTGACGTCTTCCCAGTAGGTCCGTGGTGGAGGGAACCCACCTTCCTCTGACTTTCTGTGTCACTGGTAGTCTGCGTGACATTGTCCCATCCTTGTCCCCACTAGCCCAGTCACGTGGTAGAGACCCCTGGATAAGTCTCATAGAACTTGAGGGTGTCTGAGGAGCCCAAGGGGGTGGTAAAAGGCTGGAAGCCAAGATGGTTGGGAGTTTGGGAGGAGAGGGACCTCATTGGAAGAAGACAGAGCAGAAGGCAGTTTCATGAATTTAAGCATATCGTTTAGCATCCAGTCTGCATGTCCACAGAGGGACGCATGCCTGAGCAGGAGGTCAAAAATCCTTGACTCTGTGTCTTTAAGTTTCACGGAAGCTCTGACTGAAGGCAGAAATTTGAAAACATGACACCACCCTTCAAGGCTTCGCCCCCCCACACCCGCCAGTGCACACTCTGCCCGCCATGATCCACTGTAGCCAAACAATTTGGCTTTCAAGATAAGTTGGGCAGATATTTGATAAGTGAGGATTAAAAAATAAATTATAAACACTGGCATTTAAAAACCAATTTCACAATCCCATGAAAATGTTCCTGTGTTTCTCTTAATCAAGCTAGGAAATGATAGCAATATTATATTTGCTTGATTTGTAGATCTTGTATGAACATATGGTTATTTATGGGATTCGTTATAAAAACAGATAATAGATGTGGCAGGACATTGATATAGTTAAGTCTCAAAAGGAGAGAGATTTTTATTACTAGGAATCACTTTTCTGACCTGGGTTTTCTGTCACTTAGCCATTGGGTAAATGGCAGGCTCCCCAAGGGCAGGGTAGGTGGGGCGCCCCAAGTGGCTCCCTGTGGCCCCTCACTCTGCTTGTCTCCAGATAAGACTCAGCCAGCCCAGTCTTCCATCTCTGGCAGGGGGCCTCCTGGCTCCTCTTCCATTGGAGTCTTGGGTCAGGTTTTTCTCCATCTCCATCACTTTCCCTCCTTTTCATAGGGAGCTCGATTTTGGGACAAAGAATATCAACAGCAATTTAGGAGAAACAAAGGGAGTGGGAGAGGGAAGCTAAGCTATTTTGAGGGGAGGGTGATTCTAAAATCATGAATCTCAGGGCTCCTGGGTGGCCCAGTCGGTTAAGCGTCCAGCTCTTGGTTTTGGCTCAAGTGGTGATCTCAGGGTCATGAGGTGGAGCCCCAAATGGGGCTCTGCGCTGAGCCTCTCTTTCTCTCCCCTGTCCCCACCCCAATAAATAAAATAAATCTTTAAAAAAATCAAATAAAATCGTGGATCCCTCAGAATAGCTGACCTCTGTTGTATCCGTGAGGGCTGGAACAAGACCCAGATCCCAGGTATGGGGACGGGGACACAGGAGCCTGCTCTCTAGAATCCAGTCTGTTCAGCAGCTCTCACTGCTGACTGTGTCCCAGCGCCGCCCAGGTTCCTTTTGAACAGTGCGGATGCCTGGGCCTTATTTAATGATGTAACAGGTGTGCCTCCCTATTTGATAAGCATGACATGTCTCCTGAGGTTCCAACAGCATCAAGAACCATTGATTTAGGCTCCTGACACTTAGCGATCTCCTTAATTTGTTCCTTTTCCTCCACAGATAACATTTTTCAAAGAGCTCCAAAGTAAGAATTTGGTAAAATCCCAAAGCCAATGCCTTGACTGGTGAAAAACAAAGGGAAAATCTGCTAAAATGAGATGACTTCAGAAAATAAGACTCCAGGGT